TACTACCGAGGCGACCAGTCGTGTGTTCTGTATAATTTTTATTGTAAAAACCACGTTTTTTTTATGTATTTTTTTGTCTTNATTGTAAAAACCACGTTTTTTTTATGTATTTTTTTGTCTTCCGTTTTTTTTGTATTAAAATAAACGTCGAGTTGATCAGCCGTCGACTTGTGGTGTCAACCAGGCTGTATTTTTTTTCCTCCGTTTTTTTTTATTAAAATAAACGTTGAGTTGATCTGCCGTCTACTTCTGGTGTCAACCAGGCTGTATATTTTTGTCCTCCGTTTTTTTTATTAAAATAAACGTTGAGTTGATCTGCCGTCGACTTGTGGTGTCAACCAGGCTGTATTTTTTTGTCATCCGTTTTTTTTTTTAAATAAAACGTTGAGATGCCAATGTTGATGATGGTGTGAGGCACTAACTATGGCCGGTGAAAGGCAGTCACTCCTCAAAACAACAACGACAAGTATCAACATGAAACCCCCTGTTACCCCTTATTTAATTTTGTGTAACTAGCACCGCTCTTTTTCTTCTTTTTTTCTTTTTTTTCTTTATGAATATATATATTAAAAATCTTCAATAATTAAAAAATGTTATTACATTATACATGGCCTCTTTTCTTTCTATCTATACTTTTCTCTCGTTTTCATTAATATATTTTTTTTTTTATCAAAACTTAGTAGCTCCGTCAACAAGTATTATCTTGCTTGGCGCGGCTTCTAGGTCACTGTCCAGTGGGTAATTAGTAGGCCCTCTGTTTTTGGCTGAAACCTTACAACATATACTATACATGCAAATAGATACTTAAGTATATTGATCTTTGTTGATCGATTTGATCTAACCCAATCGTGATCGATAGAGATAGACTGATAAATATATATATAAATGGATTACGTACTACGTTAGATATAAGAACTAAATAAATTATCACAAGACATATATTTCCAAATAATAGACACTTTCCTATACCACTTGAGTATTTTCACATTAATATGTCTATAATCACCTGTTTATACGTATAATTCACTTATAGAAGTTGAGATCTCTAGTTTTTTTTCTGTTGATACTATTGCCATAGTTGTAAAAAATACTTTTAAAAAGTATTTTAAATAATATTCAAATATTTAAAAAAAAATGTATTTAAAATACTATTTGAATACTTTTCATACAAAAGTATTTGAGTAATACTCAATTACTTTACAAAAGTATTTCAAATACTAAGAATACAATTAAAAAATAATAATAATGTTTTTATTTTAACTAAGAGCAAAAGGTTCCACCTAAATAATTACCAAGAGGGTAATTTGAGTCAAATATTGAGTACTCTTAAATTAAGAGAACTCATTTATTATTTTCGATATTTTTTGTTAGAGGTAAATAAAATTAATTATTGGAGACTAATCAGTGAAAAAAAT